TGTGCAAGATACACAATGTCAGCTTTCTCCAATTTCAGGATAGTCCGTCCAATTTCTTCACTTCCTCTAAGCAATCAATATTGTCACACCCAGACTACTAATTAGGGTGCTTCCAAAGTCACTACCACATGCAGCAGGTGTCCCCTGACCATGGCTTTAAAATTCACACCCACAATGGGAATTCACTCTGTGTGGTGAGCACAGTCAATCCTTTGAGCACATCTATTTTAAAATATACTCTGGTACTGAGGAGACATAAATTTTGTATGCCTGGGCAGAAGATGGCCTATGCCTAAAGTCATTGTTGCCTGTCACACCAGATTGTGTGGTCTCTATAGCCATCAACAGATGCCACAGAAACCCTGGAGCAATCAGGAATCTTATACAGAAGGCTGCAGTCAGCTCCAGTGTCAACCAGTATCAGCACATGCTGAACATTAGGAGGGACAATAGGTTGTTAATTGCACATGTGGCCTCCCATTCACCTGGGTCCCCCACAACTCAGTTCCTCAGCCTTTCCAGTAGTCTAATAGGGAAAACTCTTCTCTTGGAGCCCCCATGAAATCTTAGAGGCATATTGGGTGAATTGAGTTCTTTTCTCTCATGGGCATTTTCCAATAGTGCTGTCCAGTGGGCAGCTGTCACCTAACATTAACAGCACGTCATTGGCTGGTGATTGATTTTGTCCTTTCTTATTCCTGCCATTGGCAGGTCGATCCAAATTTATATCTGGGACATTTTAATGACCCATTTCCTTGTTTGTCCCTCTCCCCGAGGCAGAATTTTCATTTGTTTGCCTTTACTTTTTTCCTAGCAGTTGTACCACCCTGTGATCCTGCTGCTTTATCTCTACATCATCTACATTTTTCCATAACATCGGTCACCTCACAAACATGGCGGTCAATATAGGTGGTTATTATGGCTGCAGAGACCCAAAGGCAGGAGGAGGTAAAGAGGCCAATTTTTCATTTGAGTGGTTAAGTGCTCAACACCAGTGCCCCTAGTATTCACATTAAACATACCCTGCCACATGGGCATTTATCTAATAACGTGAGCCAAGTCCACACGCATGGCCCATTTACTCACACAGTAGCCCTTAAGCACTCCATCAGGGAATGATCCCCTTGAAAGTCTCCAAGGCAATGGCTGATTTACAGACATTGTCATAGTAATGGGTGAAATGTAATGGAAGTTAATTTCTTCATTTCTAATGGGGACAACTGAAGGCTATCAACTCCATCACTCCACAAGCACAAAAGCCATACTTTTCTTGGTTCTCCTGGCCTCTGTCTGCTTGCTTCCCCAACTCCCTCTGCTTGGTTGGGGTGTAAGCAGTATTAGCAAATTCACTTCCTGAGGGAGGCCTTGTGGCCCACGTCCTGGGGCTATATGCTGGTTGAGCTCCAGCTGACAGTTTCTCCCATGGTGGGCATGCAGAGGTGGCAGGGGCCCAGCTCTTCACTGGGTCCTTCCTCACTGGGCTGCTCTCTTCCCATTCATACTCTGCCCTCTACAGACACAGCCAGTCCTGCTCCAAAACCTGTGCCCAGATATTCAGCTGCATCTCCCCAGCACACAGCTCCTTTACCTGGGCATCACTGATATGGGTGTCTTTACACTGACACCTTAACACAGTGAGGAAGCCTTCATGCTGCCACCCTAACATGGTGAGCGACATCCATCCTGTCCACACAGCACTGGTCTGATCTCCTTCCAGCATTATGACTTCCAGGACATGCAAAGCCCATTTTACCTGTTTCCACTCCTGAAGAGGAGTCCAAGACATTAGGACCTCTGCCACAAGGTATTATGGTCCTATAAGAGGCCACATGTTCCCTGGCAGGAAACCCAAATACTGTGGACTGTGAGAGATGTCAAACCCATGCACAGTCATCAGGGATGCTGAGGCACTCTGGGCCAGATTCTGAAAGAACACTCCCAGAGCTGTAAGCAGATGCAGAGTCTTTATTCAGCCAGGAGCAGCACCAGCAGCACAGGTGACCTAGCAGAACAGCAGCATCCCCCAAGGCTCTTTCTACGCAGGGTTACACAATAATGGCCATTAGCCAAGGAGGTACTTGGATTGAGATCCTGGCTCCAGACTACCGTCCTGGCTGAGGCCTGAACATCGCAGGCATTTAAATCATAAACCATCAGATAAAATCACATGTGCATGCTCTCTCTCTCCTACACACTCTCTCAACTAAACAAAATTTTCACAAGTTAAATGGTAGTGGAAGAGGAAGCATCAAATCAATAGTGATGCTTATACAGCTTAGTGTGGTAGCAGTTTGTTCTAAGGGAACTGCAATGGATTCCTTTGAAATTTCATAAATTATTGGACACTGTTATGCCAAAATGCAGGTATAATAGTACATATATTTTAGACTTTTCTTGGGTATTCATTAAAATCTTGCAATCCACTGGTGATCTTCAGCTTAATATATATCTGTTGCATCAAAAAGATCCACAGGTTTTTTTTTTCATTTTTGTTATATTTACAATAAATTTAATGTATATACATAACAAAATGTAAATCATGTATTTCCAGCCTCCTCTTGAGAATTACAACTGATTTAGACTGCTTAAATTCCTGATTTCCTAATTCTGTCCAGAATTTTGAATCTAAAATATTCATGACTTCCATATGAAATATATTTTGTACCAGTCTATAATCATCAGTGTGATGATATATTTATGATGTATTTACCAAATGATTTTCTTATACTTGTTGAAACAAATAATTATAAAAGTATTTTATTTTTGAAGTATGTCTTAAATGTTCCTTTTTTGATTTATTGAACATCTATTAGTATTTTATTAGTGGAAACTATTTTTTGTTTTCATTCTTTTTCCAATGATATAAATTGTTTTTGTATTTTTAATTAAGATATATAGAAAATTTTTATTCCCAACAATCTTTCCCAAGGCATTTCAGAGTACATTGACACTCCATGGGTTTTCACCAAGTGTATCAGTGTGTATTTCCCAAAGCAGGGACAGTCTCTGGTATATACAAATGGTAATGACTGAAGTCAGGCAATTGGAACATGTTACTACTACTGGAGCCTCAGGACACTTCTAGGCTTTGCAGTTGTCTCAAAAATGCCTTTTATGGGTGTGAGCATTGTGGCATAGGCAGCTAAGCCACTACTTGCAACACTGGCATCCCATGTGGAGCACAGGTTCCTGTCCTGACTACTTTAATTCCAATCCAGCTTCCTCTTAATGAGCCAGTTAGGGCCACCCAAGTGAGAGGCCCAAATGGAGGTCCTGGCCCCTTTCTCTGTGATTACTGAATGCTTTGGGACTTTGAAGAGAAGCAGACATGACTGTTTCCCATTGTACAAAGGGGGCTGATCTCTGGCACATGCTTCCCAGCATTGCCCAAACAACATGAAATGGCCACACAGCCACCTGGTGTACCAGGTGTTTTTTAAAAATCCCCTTTTGCATACACTAGAGAGGCAGAGAGAGAGAGGAACAACAGACAGACCTCTCATCCACCGATTCCTCCCACAAATGTTCAAAAAAGTCCCTCGTTGGGGCCAAAGCCAGGAGGTGGGGTCCCCAGCCAACTCCATCCTGTGTTTGACAGGAATCCAATAATTACTTGAGACATCTGCTGCCTCCCAGGGTCTGCATTACAGGGTTCTTAGGAGCACGGTTGCAAAGTGAACCCAGGTGAACTCTAAGGTGGGACACGGGCATTTTAACCTCTGCACTAAAGATTTGGCTCCATGTTATGAGCTCCTAATTAGTTCCACCTGGCAAGGGAAGGATGCACTCCTGAAATGTTCTCACTTTCCTCCCTTGAGAGTGCTCAGGAACCATTCTATGGTTTCTCAGCTGTCTCTGTCATAAGAAATACAGACCCTGAGCCACAGTGACTCAGATGCTCATGAGGCAGACGGAGTTCCTGGCCCAAGATGTAATATCTTTTTAAGAACCTTACTGGTCATCTCTGCCTTTCCCTTTCCAGGATTCCCCTGGTTAACTTCTGCTGTTTGACACAGCAGGGACTACACCCCTTGGGACAGCAACATCCTGTATCAGAGTGCCTGAGTTCAAGTCCCAGCTCCACGTCCAGGTGTAGATTTCTGCTAACACACACACTTGGAGGCAGCAGGCAGCGGCTCCAGTTGTTGGGTCCTTTCCTTTCCAGGGTTTCTGTCTCTTCTTCTATTTAACGGATCCACCGGCCTATTGCCTGGTGGTCATAGCATTGCACTTGTCACGGGCATACCAGTGGATGGAAGATATCTCTTTCTCTCTCTCTCCCTCTCCCTCTCTCTCTCTCTGTTTCTCTTTGTCGCTTTCTCAGCTTCTCAGAGACACTGAGTCAGTCCAGGGACATAAGTTTGGTTCTATAGTTGCCAACACTCTCCTTGGAGGTAGGCCTCCACCAGTTGTACACCATCACTGGGGCCTGGCTGGCATGTGGGCCACCTCCTACCCTTTGCTCAACAGTCAGGCAGCAAGGGGCCCAAGGCTCACTGCACTGTGCAGAAGAGAAACAGCCAAATTTCATAGTTCCCTGTGTGCTTCCTGTGATGATGTGCTGACAGGAAATGATCACTTTCCTTTGTTTTGTAAACCAGTATGGAGAAAGACCCATGAAATTCAAGGGGACACATTCATATGTTGTTGAAAGTGAATATCCCCACTAAGATTCCAGAAGAGTCCCACACGCCTTTCTAATGACACTCCCTCACTGTCTTGAGAGATTCTCATGCTCATCTTGAGTATATGCATTCTTGCGTTCACCTTAGAACTGCCTCCTTACTGTGCACTCCTAGCAGGTCTGCTTTAACCTGTACTCACATGGTATTGGACTATGTCTGGCTTTTTTCACTAGACTTGATGCATGTAGACACGTCCTGTGGCTTAGGAACAATCTTGACTACAGTTATCAGAAGACACCTAGAATTCCAGGTTCCAGTGTTATACTAATCCATGTATTTATGAGGTTTAAAGATTATGGAGCAAAATATTCAACCCAAATAATTAACAAAACCAAACTTTAATATAAATGGGGTCCTGGAATGAACAGAGTCAGGTTTCATGGTATCCACCAGAGGAAGTTCTTAGCACCTGAGAGGGAGACAGAAAGAAATCAAATGAGAGTCTTGGTCAGGGCCTGCTGCCAGCTGAGTCTGGAGGCACTGCTCAGCAGTGACAGAGACTAGGACCAAACCTAGCTTGTCTGCAGTGCATGAGTTACTAAGAAAACCTAGAATCTACAAAACAATTCTAAGTCAGACATTCTGCAAACCATTTGACTTAATAGTCCAACAGAAAGAATACAGATATTTTTTCCCAAAACCCTCAAATGAGATAAATACTTAAGAGTAAATAATTTGTTCAGCAACAAAAGTTTAGTAACAAAAGCTGGGGCCATGCCCCATCATGTGCTTCAGGCACAACAAGTGTCAGTGTCAGAAAGGGGGGCATATCCTGGGACTATGAGGCCAAGACACACCAGCCACACTACAACTGTGCTGCAAACTCCACCATGGGTTCTGCCTCTGTCCATCCAGATATAGCCCAGGGGACAGCCTGCCACATCACCACCTTTCCCTGGGGAGTAACAGCAAGCAGGCCTGGGTCATAGGAGTCCACTCGGGCACTTTCACAGGTCTGCAGCAAGATTCACATCTAAGGACTCACCCAAAAAGCCTCACCACAGCAGATGGGCTGCTGGGTTTTTGCATGCCAGGCCTCAGCCCAGACCTGGGCTGGTGCTTCAAGCTTATCTGCCCAGTATCCACAGAGCAAGTAGGATCCATCATCCTTGAGGATAGGCACGATGACATCTGGCCCTTCCAGTGGGGGTGGATCTCCACACACCCTGAGGTGTGAATGCAGAGGGGAGGATGGAAGAGGTAGAAAAGATGAGGGCTTAGCACAAAGTCATTCAGTTCCAACCCAGTTCCACCAAACCTTCCCAGCAGTCTGAAAGGGTCTGTCAGCCAACAGGGAAAGGATCAATCTCTATGAGCCATCTGATCTAGATCCTCCCCTGGTGCAGACAAAGTGAGCCTTCACACAGATAGCTAAGACCCAGCAGGATGCAGAGAAGGATGGGACAGGAAGACAGAGGAGAGAAGGATGGCAGCCGAAGGGCAGAAGGCACTGAGGATCAGAGGGTTCTGTGTCCCTCTCCCAGCCCTCTGGGACAGGAAAGGACAAGCTGACCAGAAGCCTGTTTAGTTTCAGGGAGAAGAATCCCCTTGGTCTGGAATGCTTCCAACCAATGAAAGCAGTTTAACACCCAAAATGACCTTGGCATTGATCCCATTTCACTAAGCACTGCGGAGAGCATTGGTGCATTGGACATCCCTGTCTTTATTGTTGTACTGCAGGGATGTGGATGAAGCACAAGCAGAGGGGCTGAGGGAGCTGCCAAACACTTTTTATGGAGGTGACATAAAAGTGTGGCATGAGGAATGACCTCGGCATGACTGGACCCCAGGAAAACTTATGTAGGTTCCAAAGAGGATATGTAGTTGGTGACCTGCACAGTGTTTGTGACCTGCCTCAGCACATGGGGCTTTCAAGACATGGTCCACAGTCTGTAGGATGAGATTTGAATGGGAAAAATGGCTCATGGGTCCCTTTCTCTCCTCCCGTGTCTGGCATGCCAGATGTCCAGAGTAAAACACCCTCAACCCATCTGTAGATTTACCTCTGATTAGCCTCGGCCTGGTCTGCACGTGCCACCTTCCCTTCCTCCTCTTGTGATGAGGGCTCTTCCACTGCAAAGATGTGCAAATGGGGCAGGACATGGTAAATGAGATGACAAACAAAAGCGATGGTATATTAAAGCTCAGGTACCACCCACAGTCATACAGGGATATCTATGTTGTCCAGCTGTGGCACTACCTTGCTTAGCAACAGCTCCCAAACAGGAGGACATGCCTGTTTAGACAGGTCCTCTGCCCAATAGTGGAAATCTCCCTCCCTGCTGGGCATGTGCCCTCTCACTCATTTGGCATCCTGATCTTCCAAAAGTGATCAGCTGCTCTCAATCCCATGGCTATATGTTGTAAGTTCCAGGTTTGGGTTACTTTTTTAAAGATTTTATTTATTTTAATTGAGTTAGGGTTACAGACAGTGAGAGGGAGAGACAGAGAGAAAGGTCTTCCTTACATTGGTTCACTCCCCAGATGGCCACAACAGCCAGAGCTGCGCCAATCTGAAGCCAGGAGCCAGGCACTTCTTCCTGTTCTCCCATGAAGGTGCAGGGGCCCAAGGACTTGGGCAATCTTATATTGCTATCCCAGGCCATAGCAGAGAGCTATACTGGAAGTGGAGCAGCCAGGACTAAAACAGGTGCCCATATGGGGTACTGGCACCGCAGGCAGAGGATTAACCTACTGCACCACGGCGCTGACACCCAGATGTGTTTTAAGTGACCAACCACACAATGGGGGCTCATCCAATCCTAAGCCATGGTGAGGGACTCCCAGACTCCTCCACCGTGCCAAAATATGAACATGTGAACCCTCAGGGCTCCACACACACAGGAGCCTTTTGGTGCCATGCTGACACTGTGGTTCTTAGTAGATCCTGAGAGGCACGAGCCAGCACAGGCAACCACAGGATGGAATCCTCAGTACATTCCCTAGGATTCCAGATGATGAGTGGAGTCAGAGCACCAGGCCAGGGTTATAGGAGTGCACTCAGGAGGTTTATCAGGTCTGCAGCTAGAGTCACATCAAAGGACTCACCGAGAATGGTCTCAGCATAGCAGATGGGCTGCTGGGCTGTAGGGTGCAGGGCCCCAGCCCAGGCCTGGACTGGGGCTTCAGGCTCATCTGCCCAATATGCACAGAGCAGGTAGGATCCATCATCCTTGAGGACAGGCACGATGACATCTGGCCCTTCCAGTGGGGGTGGATCTTCACTCACCCTGAGGTGTGAATGCAGAGGAGGGGACAGGAGGAGCAGAAAAGATGAGGGCTTAACACAAATTCTTTCAGTTCCAACCCAGTCGCACCAAGCCTTCCTAGCATTTTGAAAGCATCTTTCACCCAACAGGGACAGGATCACCCTCTAAAAGCCTCTGATCTAGATCCTCCCTGCTGCAGACACAGTGACCCTTCACACAGATAGGGCAGACCCAGCAGGATGTAGAGAAACTGGACAGCAAGACAGGAGACAAGGAGGCTGTCAGTAGAAGGCCAGAAGTCTCACTGTGGAGCACAGGGCTTGCCGCCCCTCTCCAACACTCACCCCCCTTCCCCAGGGGGGACAGAAAAGGACAAGATTGCCAGAAGCCAGTTGCCTAGTTTCAGTGAAAGAGTCCCCTTTGGTGGAATTCTCACACCCTCCTAAAGCCCGTTAACACCACAGAGCACCTCAGGATGGTCCCCATTCCCTCAGCACTAAGGAGTGCATGGGTGCAGTGGACATTTTCTGTATCTACCATTGTACTGCAGGGTGGGGGGGGGCTGATGAGAGACAACCAGTAGGCTGAGCGAGTGGTCGTTCTCTCAATGGGCCACAGAGAGTCAGTGGCATTAGGAATGACCTGGCCTGGTGACTTTCCCAGGGAAACTTCTGCAGCTGTCCAATGGAGGCTGGACATGGGGCTGACGTGGAAAGTGTTTGGGGCCCTCCTTAGACAGAGTCTACTTGGGAGGAACTTTGAATGCTATAAATGGACTCCAGTTGCACATTGTCTTCCACCGTGTCACAAATCTCCAGATATTCACACTAAAAAAAAAAAAAAAAGAAAAGAAAGACCCCATCTGCAGATTTACCTGGGTGTGGCCTCAGTCTGCTCTGCAGATGCCACCTCTATTTTCTCCTTCTGGCTGGAGGCATCTTCCACTGCAAGGAGGGCAAATGGGGCAGGACATGGTCAATGAGATGGCATGCAAACACATTGTCATAGTAAAGCACAGGTATCACAAATGCCCCACCAGCTTCTGAGGACACCTATGCTGCTCACTTAGTGAACAGGTGTTAGCAACAGCCTCACTCCCAGGGAACATGCCTGCAATGGCAAGTCCTCTGCCTACCAATGGAGAGCTCCCTGCCTGTCTGGAGTGTGATAGCCACAGATCAGGCATCTGATCTTCCATGAGGGGCCAGCCGCTTTCACCACGTGGCTCCTTGGTCTATGTCTGATGTGTCACAACAGGGGGCTCATCCCCACAGCAGTCATTGGTGGGGGACTCCTGGGCACGTACACCCTGCCACAGTATGAACATATGAAACCCACAGAGCTTCACACACACAGGAGCCTTTTGGTGTCATTCACACAGTGGCCCTTAGTGGATCCTGAGAGGCATGAGGCCAGCACTGGCAACCTCAGCATGGAACCCTCAGGACATGGCTCAGGGTTCTAGATGAAGAGTGACATCAACACAATTGGAATGAGAGAGACAGCATGCCCAGTTCATCAGGATCTGAGAAAGATATCAGGCTGAGAAGGTAACCCGAGTAGAGCTGTGGTGGCAGGCATGCAGTGTAATGGCATCTAGGGCAAGGCCAAAGGTGCCCCACTCTTCCATGTGTAGGCTAGAAGAAATCCTTGACACATGCAGGAGCACAGGCTGGGGCCCTGCCATCACACTTGCCTCTTATGCAGCAACATGGTCAGCTTGCTTGTCAGAAAACGGAGCATAACCTGGGGCTCTGAGGTTATGAAATACCTGCCTACACTACATCCCTGCTGCAAACTCCACCCAGGGCTCTGCTTAGTCCACCCAGAAGTAGCGCAGAGTTCCTGCCACATCACACCTTTCCCCAGGGGTATAGAGCAAGCAGGCCTCTGTCACTAGGGTGCACTCAGGTGGTTTGGCAGGTCTAGAGCAAGATTCCCACCAAAAGACTCACCCACAATGGCCTCCGCACAGCAGATGGGCTGCTGGGCTGTAGGGTGCAGAGCCCCAGCCCAGGCCTGGGCTGGTGCTTCAGGCTCATCTGCCCAGTATCCACAGAGCAAGTAGGATCCATCATCCTTGAGGATAGGCACAATGACATCTGGCCCTTCCAGTGGGGGTGGATCTCCACACACCCTGAGGGGTGAAAGCAGAGGGGAGGATGAGAGGATTGGGAAAGATGAGGGCTTAAACCAAAATCATTGAGTTCCAACCCAGTTCCACAAACCTTCCTAGCAGTCCTTAAGGTCTGTCACACAATGGGGACAGGACCATCCACTAACAGCCATCAGAATGGATCTTCCCTTGATTCAAAAGTAGTCTCACAGGGACAGAGCAGACCCAGCAGGATGCAGAGAAGGTGAGACAGGAAAATAGGAGTGGAGTCTGTCAGCCCAAGGCCAGAGGGCCCTCTTACAGCATCCTGGGACAGAGAAGAACAAGCTGGCCAGAAGCCAATTGTCTAGTTCCAGGGAAAGAATCCCCTTGGGGTGCAATGTTCCCACCCAGCTAAAGCTCTTCAGTACTCCAGACAGCCTCGGGATGGGTCCCATTTCCATCAGCACTGTGGTGCCATCATGCCCTGCACACTCCCTATCTCACCATCGCACCACAGGGATGCTGATGAAGGACAAGCAGAGGGACCAAGGGAGTGGCCCTCACTTTTTAGAGAGGCCACACAGAAGTAGTGGCATTAGGAGTGACCTAGACAGGTGACGGGTTTCCAGGGAAATTTATATAGGGGTCCACTGAGGGTAAATGGGCGGTGAGCAGGACAGTGTTACAGTGCAACTCAGCACATGAAGCTTTCAGGATGTGCATCCAGTCATTGTGGGAGGAAAACTGAATGATATAAATCACACAAAGGGCACATTCTCTCACCTCACGTCTGATATCTCCCCATGTCCATACTAAAACACCCTGAACACATCTGTTGATTTACCTGGAGGTAGCCTCAGCCCAATCAGCAGTTGCCAACATGACTTTCTCTTTTTGGTAGGTGGCATCTTTCACTGCAAAGAAATGCAAATGAGGCAGGGCATGTGAAATGAGATGCCATGCAAATGCGATGGCCTAGTAAAGCACAGGTACCACACCATATTCTAGCATCTTCCTAAGAAAGGTGTGGTCACATGACCTTGGTCAGCCACTGCCTCACTCCCAGGAGGGCAGGCCTGCAATGGCAAGTCCTCTGCCTGACAATGCAGCCCTCCCTTTCTTGGGAGTGTTTCATCACACACAACAGGCATCATGATCTTCCACAAGTGGTCAGCTGTTTTCAATCATATGGGCCCTTGGCCTATGAATTAGATATGTTCTAAGAGACCAACCACACAATGAGAAGCTCATCCCATCCTACAGCCATGGTGGGAACTCCCAGGCTCACACACTCTGCTGCAATATGAATATGTGAAACCCTCAGAGCTTCACACCACTAAGACTTTGGTGCTATGCAGACACTGTGTACCCTTAGTGAACCCTGAGAGGCAATAGGCCAGCACTGGCTACCACAGGATGGAGCCCTCAGGACATGGCCCAGGGTTCCAGATGAGGTATGACATCACCACAGTAGGAATAAGAGAGACAGTATGGCCCTGTTCAAAGGGATGTGATTAAGATCTCAGTTCAGCAAGGTGACCAGAAGTATAGCTGGCCTAGTGGGCAGACATTGTCTTTGCAAATTGCTGGGGCAGAGGTCTCACAGAGAAGCCTGCCACTGGCAAAAGGCATCCCACTCTTCCAAGAGGAGCCTTAGAAAAATACCTTGTCGCATGCATGAGCACAGGCTCATGGTGGATTCGATGCCACAACATCTGCCTTGGGCATAGTGACACAGCTGGCTTTGGTGCCAGAAAGTGGAGAATAACCTGGGCTCTGAGGTTAAGAAACACCTGCCTACACTAAACAGTTGCTGCAAACTCAACACAAGGTTCTGCCTCAGTCCACCTCAATGAAGTCTAGTGGATAGCCGAAGATTTCAGACCTTTTCCAGAGTGTTGCAGAAAGCAGGCCAAGGGTTTATGGGTGTACTCCTGTGGTTTGGCTGCCCTGCACCAAGTTTCACATCAAAGAACTCACCCACAATGGCCTCAGCACAGCAGATGGGCTGCTGGGTTGTAGGGTGCCAGGCCCCAGCCCAGGCCTGGACTGGCGCTTCAGGATCATCCATCCAAACTGCACAGAGCATGTAGGACCCATCATCCTTGAGAATAGGCACAATGACATCTGGCCCTTCCAGTGGGGGTGGATCTTCACACACCCCGAGGTGTGATGCAGAGCAGAGGCTGGGAGGGGTGGAAAAGATGAGGGCTTAATACAAGGTCATTCAGTTCCACCAACCCAGTCCCACCAATCCCTCCTAGCAGTCTGAAAGGGTTGTCACCCAAGAGACAGGATTATCCTCTAGGATCGATCTGATCTAAATCATCCTCTGGTTCAGACAACATGAGCCTTCACATGGACAGGGCAGACACATTAGAATGCAGAGGGGCTGGGACAGGAAGATAGGAGGAGAGGAAGCTGTCAGTAGAAGGCTTGAAGGAGGAGCACAGGGTGCTGGTGCCCACTCTCACAGCCCCCTGAGGACGATGAAGCACAAGCCGGCCAGAAGCAAGTTGTCTAGTTTCAGGGAAAAGATTCTCATTAACGTGAAATGCTCCAACCCAGGGAAAGTACTTTAACAACCCCAGGATGGGTCCCATTTCTGTCAGAACTGTGCAGTGCATCCCTGTCTTTATCATTGTATTGCAGGGTTGCTAATGAAGGAAAAGCAGAGGGGCTGAAGGAGTTGCCCTCAGTTTTTAGAGAGGCCACACAGAAGCAGTGGCATGAGGAATGACCTCAACAGGAGACTGGGCCCAGGAATATTTGTGCAGGTGTCCAAAGGAGGATAAGTGATGGCATCTGGCAGGATTTGGGGTCCACCTCAGCACATGGAGCCTTCAAGAGGTGCTCCAGAGCATTTGTAGGAAGAGATTTGAGTGGGGCAATTTCTCTTCTCCCATGTCTTCCATCTCTAGGGGTCCCTAGTAAAGCCCCCTCAACCCATCTCTAGGTTTACCTCTGATTAGCCTCAGCCTGGTCTGCAGGTGCCACCACACCTTCCTCCTCTTGAAATGAGGGCTCTTCCACTGCAAAGATGTGCAAATGGGGCAGGACATGGCAAATGAGATGATAAGCAAATGTGAGGGCATGCTAAAGCACAGGTACCGCCTACTGTCACACCAGATTCCAAGGATATCTATGCTGTCTGGTTGTGGTACTATCTTGGTTAACAACAGAACCAAACCATAAGGACATGGCTGTTTTGACAAGTCCTCTGCCCAACAATGGAAATCTCCCTCCCTGTTGAGAGTGTGTCAACTCACTCATCGGGCATCCTGATCTCCCACAAGGGGTCAGCCACATTCAATCCCCTGGCTTTCTTAGGTGTCTCAGTGTTCAACTGCACAATTAGAGGCTCATCTGATCCTGCAGGCAATGTGGGGACTCCCTGGTTACTATCCCCTGCCATAAAATGAACATGGGAAACCCATAGAGCTTCCCACACACAGGCGTCTTTTGGTGCCATGCAGACACTGTGGTCCTAGTGGATCCCGAGATGCACGGGGCCAGCATTGACAACCTCAGGATGGAACCCCCAGTACATGGCTAAGTGTTCCAGAGGGGAAGTGCAGTCTCCACCATGGGAACAAGAGAATGAACAGCCCACTTCAAGAGCATCTGGTTAAGATCTTGGGCTGAGAAGGTAGCCGGGAGTACAGATTTCCTGGGAGAAATGGCAGGGTCATGGCCCAGGGCTGGGGCAAGAAACACCTGCCTAGACTACATCCATGCTGCAAACTCCACCCAGGGTTCTGCCTTAGTCCATCCAGATGTAGCCCTGGGGAAAGCCTACCACATCACCACCTTTCCCCAGGGGCTTAGAGCAAGCAACTAGGGTCATTGGGATGCTCACAGGCTTATCATACCTGCAACAAGAATCATATCAATGGACTCACCCAAAGTGTCCTCAGCACTGCAGATGGGCTGCTGGGTTGTAAAGTGCCAGGCCCCAGCCCAGGCCTGGACTGGTGCTTCAGGCTCATCAGCCCAATATCCACAGAGCAGGTAGGATCCATCTTCCTTGAGGATAGGCACGATGGCATCTGGCCCTTCCAGTGGGGGTGGATCTCCACACACCCTGAGGTGTGAATGCAGAGGGCAGGACAAGAGGGGAGGAAAAGATGAGGGCTTAACACAAAGTCACTCAGTTGCAGCCCAGCACTGCTAACCCTTCCTAGCTCTCAGAAAGAGTCTTTCACCAATAGGGACAGGAGCATTCTCTAAGAGCCGTCTGATCTAGATCCTCCCCTTGTTCAGACAAAGAGACCCTTCACAGGATTGGGCAGACACAGCAGGATGCAGAGAGGATGGGACAGGAAGACAGAAGAAGAGGTTGCTGTCAATAGAAGGCCAGAAAGCATTCTAGGAGCAGAGGGCTCTGGTGTCCCTCTCCCAGACCCCTGGGGCCAGCCTCACCACATGGAACTTTGAAGAGGTACTCGCAGAATATTCATGGGAGGAGCTTTGAATGCTAAATATTGCTTATGGGGCACATTCTCTCCTCCCCATGTCTGCCATCTCCAGGAGTCCATAATAAATAACCCCCACCCCATCTGCCGACTTACCTGGGTATAGCCTCGGCCTGCTCTGCAGATGCTGAGTCCCCTTCCTCCTTTTTGCAGGAGGGCTCTTCCACTGCAGAGAGTGCAAATGGGACAGGATGTGGTCAATGGGATGACATGTACATGAGATGGCATAAAGTAAGGCACCACCCACTGTCACACAGCTTCTGAAGACACCTATGCTGTCAAGTTGTGGAACTGCCTGTGTTAGCCACAGCCTCACTCACAGGAGGACAAGCCTGGAATGGCAAGTCCTCTGTCTAACAATGTAGCCCTCCCTCCCTACCTGGGAAGTTTTTCATAACACAAAACAGGCATCCTGACCTTCCACAAGTGGTCAGCTATTTTCAACCATATGTGTCCTTGGCCTGTGAGTCAGATATGTTCTAAGAGACCAAACACACAATGGGAGGACCGTCCCATCTAACATCCAAAGTGGGAGATTCCTAGGTACACACACTCTGCTGCAATATGAACATGTGAATCCAGCAGAGGCTCACAGCACTGAAGTCTTTCGGTGCCAGGCAGACACTGTGCCCCTTAGAGCATCCAGATAGACATGAGGCCAGCACTGACTACTTCAGGATGGAACCCTCAATACATGGCTGAGGATTCCTGATTTGGAATGACATCACCACAGTGGGAACGTGAGAGAGTGTGACCCTACTCAGCAGGATCTGGTGGAGATCTCAGGCTGAGAAAGTAGCCAAAATAGCCGTCCTAGCAGGCATGCAGTGTCTTGGTAACCAAATGGGGCAGAGGTTTCACAAGAAAGCCTGCACTGATAAAAGGCATCCCACTCTTCAAGTGGAGGCCTGGAAGAAAACCCTGTCACATGAATGAGCACAGGCTCCAAAGCCCGGGCCATGCCATCACACCTGCTTTGGGCACAGTGACATGGTCGGATTCATTGCTGAGCATGGGGCATAACATGGGGATCTCAGGTTAAATAACACATGCCTAAATTAGTGCAGCAAACTCTACCCCAGGTTCTGCCTCTGTCAATCTAGATCTGCCCCATGGTTCAGCCTACCCCATCACAATCTTTCCCAGCAGTGTTCAAGAAAGCAGGACAGGGTCACCAGGTGCACTCAGGAGGTTTATCAGGTCTGCAGCTAGTCACATCAAAGGACTCACCCGCAATGGCTTCAGCACAGCAAATGGGCTTCTGGGTTGTAAGGTGCCAGGGCTCAGCACAGGCCTGGACTGGTGCTTCAGACTCATCAGCCCAAAATCCACAGAGCAGGTAGGATCCGTCACCCTTGAAGATAGGCACGATGACATCTGGCCCTTCCAGTGGGGGTGGATCTTCACCCACCCTGAGGTGTGAATGCAGAGGGCAGGACAAGAGGGGAGGAAAAGAGGAATGTTTAACACAAAGTCATTCAGTTGCAATCCAGTCCCCCCAATCCTTCCTGTCCAAAAATGCCTGTCACCCAACAGAGACAAGATCATCCCTTAAGAGCCATCTGATCTACAGCCTCCCTTGGTGCAGTCAAAGTGAACCATCACATGGACAGTGCAGACCCAACAGAACACGGGGAGGATGGGACAGGAAGATAGAAGGAGAGGAGGCTGTAGGCAATTGTCAGAAGGCACGCTGACGAGCAGAGGGCCCTGGGGCACCTCTTGTCAACCCCTGGAGACAGAAAAGGACAAGGGATGCTGATGAGGGACAAGCAGTGGGGCTGAGGGAGTGGCCCTTCACTTTTTAGGAAAAGCACACAGAAGCAGTGGTATTAGGAATGATCTAGATAGGTGACTGGTTTCCAGGGAAACTTATGCAGGTGTCCAGGGGAAGATAACTGGGCAGTGACCTGGGCAGCAGCACAGTGTAACTCAGCACATGGGGATTTCAAGAGGTGTGCCAGGTCTTCCTGGGGAGGAGCAATGAATGTTTTAAAAATCTCACAGGGCACTTTCTCTCACCCCATTTCTGCCATCACCAGATAGCCATACCATACTAAAAACCCTGGAGCCAGCTGTCAACTTACCTGGACATAGCCTCAGCCTGATCTGAGGATGACCCCTTGACTTTCTCCTTTTTGTTTGAGGAGTCTTCCACTGCAAGGGAGTGCAAATGGGGCAGGGCATGGTAAATGAGATGACATGCAAATGCAACGGGCTAGTAAGGCACAGGTATCACAACTGTCCCACCATATTCTGAGTAAATCTGTACTGTCTGGTTGTGGCACAGCCTTGGATAGTGACAGCCTAATTAACAAGAGGACATGCCAGTAATGCTCAAGTCCTCTGACTAACAATGCTGCTCTACCTCCTTTTGGGGGAGTGTTTCACAACACACAACAGGAACCTTAACCTTCCCAATTGGTCAGCCATTTTCAACGTTTTGTGTCCTTGGCCTGTGGGTCAGATATGTTCTAAGAGACCAAACACACAATGGGAGGACTGTCCCATGCAACAGCCAATGTGGGAGGCTCCCAGGCTCACACACTCTGCTGCAATATGAACATGGGAAACCCAAGGAGCTTCACACCACTGAAGTCTTTGGTGCCATGCAAGACACCGTGCCCCTTAGTGAATCCTGAGAGGCTCGAGGCCAGCACGGGTAATTTCAGATAGAACCCTTAGTACATGGTCCTGGGCTTCAGATAAGGGGTGATGTCACACAAAGGAAATAAGAGAGACAGTGTGGTCCTGTTTAGGGGGGTGTGGTTAAGAACTCAGGCTGAGAAGGTAAGCCAAGACTACAGCTGTCCTGGCAGGCATGCAGTATCTTAGCCATGGTTGGGACAGAGGTCTCACAGGGAAGCCTACAACTGGCCAAAGACATCCCACTCTACCAAGTAAGGCCTAGGAAAAAACCCGCCCCATGCATGAGCATAGTATATATCACTGGATCCATGCCACCACACCTGCCTCGGGTGCCTGACATGACCTGGCTTTGGTGCCAGAAAATGGAGCATAACCTGGGGCTCTGAGGTTAATGAGACACCTGCCTGTAATACATCTTTGCTGCAAATTCCACCAAGATTCTACTTCAGACATCTAGATTGAGCTAAGGGACATTCTTACCAAATCAGGACATTTTCTCTGGGGTTAGAACAAGCAGGCCAGTGTCACTGAGGTACAATCAGGTGTGGCAGGTCTGAAGCAAGATCAAATCAAAGGACTCACCCACAATGGCCTCAGCACAGCAGAGGGGTTGCTGGGTTGTAAAGTGCCAGGCCCTAGCCCAGGCCTGGTCTGGTGCTTCAGGTTCATCTGCCCAATATGCACAGAGCAGTAGGACCCGTCATCCTTGAGGACAGGCACGATGGCATCTGGCCCTTCCAGTGGGGGTGGATCTTCACCCACCCTGAGGTGTGAATGCAGAGGGGAGGATGGAAGAGGTAGAAAACATGAAGGGTTAACACAAGGTCATTCAGTTCCAACCCATTTCCACCAAACCATCCTAGCAATCTGAGAGATCTGTCACCCAATAGGGACAGGACCGACCACTAACAGCCATGTGATCTAGATCCTCCCCTGATCCAAAGTGAGCCTTCATTGGATAGGGAAGACCCAGCAGAAGGCAGAGAGTATGGGACAGGAAGACAGAAGGAGAGGAGGCTGGCAGCCAAAGGCCAGAAGACACACTGAGGAGCAGAGGGCTCTGGTGCCCACTCTCAAAACCCCCTGGGGACAGAGAAGGACAAGCTGGCCAGAAGCCAGTTGTCTAGTTGCAGGGAACAGAATCCCCTTGTCGTGGAATGTTGCCACCCAGCTAAAGCACCTGAGCTCCCCGGACTACCTCAGGATGTGTCCTAATTACATCAGCACTGTAGCATGCATCCGGGCATTGGAATCCCTGTCTTTATGAATGTAACACAGGGATGCTGATGAGGGACAAGAAGAGGGGCCGAGGGAGAGGCCTCTCACTTTAATGGAGGCCACACAGAAGCAGCGGCATTAGAAATGACCTGGACTGCTGACTCGTTCCCAAGGTAACTATGCAGGTGTTCAGTGGATGTTGGGGGGAGTTGACTGGACAGTCTTTGGGGACCTCAACAGCACATGGAGGTTTGGAGAGCTGCTCTCAGAGTCTCTGTGGGAGGAGTTTTGAATGGTATAAATGGCCCTTGGGGCACATTCTCTCCTTCCTGTGTGCAATCTCCAGATGTCCATGCTGAAACACCCTGAACCCATCTGAACGTTTACCTGGGGATAGCCTCGGCCTGGTCTGTAGATGCCAACTCCACTTCCTCCTTTTGGTGGTAGGGGTTTTCCACTGCAGAGAGTACAATGGGGCCGGATGTGGTAACCAGGATGATATGCAAATGCGATGGCACAGTAAAGCTCAGGTACTGCCCACCATCACACAACTTAGAGACATCCATGCCGTCTAGTTGTGGCATTACCTGTGCTAAAAAGAGTGTCATGTCCAGGAACACACGCTTCCAATGGCAAGTCTTTACCAACCAAAGGAGAACTCCCTCCCAGGGACTCTGAGGTTAAGAAACACCTGCCTACATGACATGTGTGCTGTAGCCCCACCCAGTGTTCTGCATTTGTCCATATAGATGTAGCCATGTGATTGCCTACCCATCACCTCCTTTCCTGGGGGGTTACAGCAAGTAGGTCAGAGTTATTGGGGTGGTCTCAGGAGGTTTGGCAGGTCTCAGCAAGATTCCCATCAAAGGACTCACCCACAATGGCCTCAGCACAGCAGATGGGCTGCTGGGTTGTAGGGTGCCAGGCCCCAGCACAGGCCCAGATTGGAGCTTCAGCATCATCATCTGCCCAAAATCCACAGAGCATGTAGGACCCATCATCCTTGAGGATAGGCACGATGACATCTGGCCCTTCCAGTGGGGGTGGGTCTCCACACACCCTGAGGTGTGAATGCAGAGGGGAAGACGAGAGGGGTGGAAAAGTTGAGGGCTTAACACAAAGTCACTCAGTTCCAACCCAGACCCACCTACCTTCCTAGCATTCTGAAAGCATTTTTCATCCAATAGGGATGGGGCCATCCTCTAAGAGCCTTGTGATCTTGATATTCCTCATGTTCAAAAAGCACCTTCCCATGGATAGGGCAGACCCAGTAGAATGCAGAGAGGAAAGGACAGGAGATAGAAGGAGAGGAGGCTGGGAGCAGAAGGCCAGAAGTCACACTGAGGTCAGAGGGCTCTGGTGCCCCCCCCTTACAGCTCCCTGGGGACAGAATAGGAGGACACACTGACCAAAAGCCAGTTGTCTAGTTTCAGGGAAAAGAAGCCCCTTTGTGTGGAATGCTCCCAACCACCTAAAGCACTTTGGCACCCCAGACCACCTTAGTATTGAGTCCCATTTCCTGCAGCACTGTGGAGTGTATCCGTGCACTGGACATTCTCTATCTTAATTACTATACTGCAGGGATGCTGATGAGGGACAAGCAGAGGGCCGAAGGAGGGGTGCCTGACATTTTATTGAGGACACACAGGAGCAGGGGCATGAGGAATGACCTGGACAGTTAAATGGCTCCTAGGGAAACTTAGAGAGGTATCTAATTGAGGTTAAGGGGGTGGTGAACTGGACAGTGTTTGGGGCCCACCTCAGCACATGGAGCTTGCAAGAGGTGTTCCCAGAGATTTCATGGGAGGAGCTTTGATGGTATAAATGACTCATGGGGCACAGTCTCTCCTCCCCGTGTCTGCAATCTCCACATGTCCATACTAAAACACCCTCAACCCATCTGTAGATTCACCTGGGGTTTGCCTCGGCCAGGTCTGGAGATGCCACCTCTCCTTCCTCCTTTTGGCTTGAGGCATCTTCTACTGCAAAGGAAAGCAAATGGGGCAGGACATGGTAATGAGATGGCATTTACCAAAAAGAATTCCTCCCTGTCTGGGGAGTGTGACACCCCACACATATCATCCTGATCCTTACATACATAGTCAGTTCCTTTCAACCATGTCAGTCAATGGCCTTTTTGTCTGAATGTTTTAAGAGACCAACCACATGATGGAAGACTTGTCCCATTCAACAGCCACTAGAGTGGGGCTCCCCAGCTCATACACTCTGCTGCCATATGATCATATGAATCCCATCGAGCTTCACACACACAGGAACCTTCTGGTGCCATGCAGACACTGTGCTTCTTGGTGGATCCTGAGAGGCACGAGGCCAGCACCAGCTACCCCAGGATGGAACCCTCAGAACATGCCCAGGATTCCAGATGAGGACTGCAGTCACCACAAAGAGAACAAGGGAAGGAATGGCCCAGGTCACGGGCATCTGGTTAAGGTTTCAGGCCAAGAACATAGCCAGGACTATAATTGTCCTGGCAGGCATGCAGTGTCATGACACATAGCTGGGACAGATGTCTCACAGGAGATCCTGGCACTGGCCAAAGGCATCCAGCTCTTCCATGGGTAGGCCTAGAATAAACCTGTCATGTGTATGACTTCAACTGGGGCTATGCCATCACACTTGACTCTGGTAGCAGCATCTTGGCTTGTTTCAGTGCCAGAAAGGAGAACATAACCTGGGACTCCAAGGTTAAGAGACACCTGCCTACAATTATTTTGTTCCCCTTCACCCAGGGTTCTGCCTCTGTCCATTCAGATGTAGCCATGGGACAGCCACATCACCACCTTCCCTGGGGGAGTTACAGCAAGCAGGCCAGGGTTATTGGGGTGCACTCAGGAGCTTTGGTAGGGCAACAGCAAGATTCAAATCAAAGGACTTACCCACAATGGCCTCAGCACAGCAGATGGGCTGCTGGGTTGTAAGGTGCCAAGGCTCAGCAGAAACCTGCACTGGTGTTCCAGACCCATCAGCCCAATATCCACAGAGCATGTAGGATCTGTCATCCTTCAGGATAGGCAGGATGACATCTGGCCTTTCCAGTGGGGGTGGATCTCCACACACCCTGAGGTATGAGTGCAGAGAGGAGAGGAGGGTGGAAAAGATGAGGGCTTAACATAAAGTCATTCAGTTCCAACCCAGTCCCACTAAATCTTGCAAGGAGTTGGAAAGGTTGTTACCCAACAGGGACAGGATTATCCTCTAAGAGCGATCTGATCTGGATCATCCCCAGGTTCAGATAAAGTGAGTTTTCACATGGATAGGGAAGACTCAGTAGAACTTAGGGAAGACTGCACAGGAAGACAGAAGGAAGGCCGGAAGCCATGCCAAGGAGCAGAGGTCTCTAGCACCCATTCCCAGACCCTGGGGACAGAAAAGGACAAGCTGGCCAGAAGCCAGTTCTCTAGCTTCAGGGAAAAGAATCAGCTTTATGGAATTCTGCCACCCAGCTAAACTACTTTAGTATCCTCAACCACCTCGGGATTGAGTCTCACTTCTGTCAGCCCTGTGGAGTGTGTCGGTGCATTGGACATTCCCTGTCTTTATCAACATACTGCATCAATGTTGATGAGGGACACTTTTAATGGAGGCCGCATGAAACAGTACATTAGGAATAAACCGGACTGGTGACTGGTTCTGTGAGAAATTTATGCAGCTGTCCAATGGAAGTTGGAGAGAGGTGGCTGACCTGAACAGTGTTTGAGGCCCACTACAGCACAGGGAGCTTGCAAGAGTTGCTCCCTGAGTCTCGTGGGAGGATCTTTCCATAGTATAAATGGCTCACAGGACACGTTCCCTCCTTCCAGTGTTGCCTTATCCAGATGGCCATGATAAAACACCCTCAACCCATCTGTAGACTTACCTGGGGATAGGCTCAGCCTGGACTGCAGTTGCCACCTCCCCTTCCTCCTTTTTGTAGGAAAGGTCTTCCACTGCAAAAAGGGCCATTGGGGCCGGATGTGGTAAGTGCGATGACATGTAAATGAGATGGCATCATAAAGCTCAGGGGCTGCCCACTGTCACGGAGCTTCCAAGGACACCCATGCTGTCTGGTTGTTTCACTGCCTATGCTAATAAGAGCCTCACACCCATGTGGACATGGCCTGCAGTGGCAGTCTACTGCCAACCCAAGGAGAACTCTCTCCCCATCTGGGGAGTGTGGTATCCCACACTTTAGGCATCCTGATCTTCCACAAGGGGGAAGCAGCCATCAGCCATCTGGGTCCTCGGTCTGTGTGCTCTAAGAGACTGACTGCACAACATGGGGCTAGTTCCAGGCTCATATGAGCACCCTGCCACAACATAAACATGTGAAGCCCATAGATCTTCACACACACAGGAACATTTTGATTTCATGCAGCACTGTGGCACTTAGTGGATCCTGACAGGCAAAAGGTCAGCAGAGGCTACCCCAGGGTGGAACCCTCTGCACATGGCCCAGGGTTCCAGATGAGGAGTGATGACAATAGAACAGGAATGAGAGAGACAGCATGGCCTAGTTCAGGGGCATCAGGTTAGGATCTCAGGCTGAGAAAGTAGCCATGATTACAGTTCCCATCAGGCATGCAGTGTTATGTCACATGGTTGGGGCAGGGGTCTCACAGGGAAGCCTGCCACTGCCCAAAGGCATCCTACTCATCCAATTCACAAGCATGAGTGAGCGCAGGCTGCATAGCTGGGGCCATGCCATCACTCTGGCCTCTGCTACATAGACATGGATGGGTCCAGGTGCAGGAATACAGGGCATAATCTGGGCTCTGAGGTTAAGAAACACCTGATGACACTACATCTGTGCTTTGAACTCCATCCAGGGTTCTCCCATAGTCCACTCAGATGTAGCCAAGGGGACAGCCTCTCACATCACCACCTGTCCTTGGCAGGTTAGATCAAGCAGTGCATTGGGGTGCACTCAGGAGATTTGGCAAGTCTGCAGCAAGAGTCAAATCAGAGGACTTACCCACATTGGCCTCAGCACAGCAGACGGGCTGCTGGATTGTACATTTCACAGTCTCAGACCAGGCCTGGGCTGGTGCTTCAGGCTCATCAGCCCAAAATCCACAGAGCAGGTAGGATCCATCTTCCTTGAGGATAGGCATGATGGTATCTGGCCCTTCCAGTGGGGGTGGATCTCCACACACCCTGAGGTGTGAATGCAGAGGGGAGGACGGAAGAGGTGGAAAAGATGAGGGCTCAGCACAAGGTCATTCAGTTCCAACCCAGTTCCACCAAACCTTCCTAGCAGTCTGAAAGGGTCTGTTAATCAAAGGGACAGGACCATCCTCTATGAGCCATCCAATCTAGATCTTCCCCTTGTTCAGACAAAGTGAGTTTTCACAAAGATAGGGCAGACCCAGCAGGACATAGAGAGGGTTAGACAGAAACACAGGAGCAGAGGATGCTGTCAGCTAAAGGCCAGAAGGCACATCAGGAGCAGAGGGCTCTGGTGCCCCTCTTCCAGCACCCTTGGACAGGAAAGAACAAGCTTGCCAGAAGCCAGTTGTCTAGTTTCAGGGAATAGAATCCCCTTGGCGCTCAATGTCCCAATGAAGCTAAAGCACTTTAATACCCCAGACCACCTTGGGACTGTGTGCCCATTTCTGTGAGCACTGTGGAGTGTGTCAGGGCATTGGATATTCCCTGTCTTTGTCATTGTACTGCAGGGATGTGGATGAGGGACAAGTAGAGGGGCTGAGGGAGTGGCTCCTCACTTTATGAATGCCACACAGAAGCAGTTCATTCCCAGGGGAACTTATGCAGTTGTCCAGCGAGGTTAAGGACACAGTGTTTGGGGCCTGACTCAGCACATGGATTTTCCAAGAGGTGCTCCCGGAGTCTTCATGGGAGGACCTTTGAGTGGTATAAATGGCTCTCAGGGCACTTCTCTCCTCTCCAGTGTCTGCCACCTCCACATGTCCATACAAAAATACCCTCAGCCCATCTGTAGATTTACCTGGGGATAACCTCAGCTCTGTCTGCAGATACCACTTCATCCTTTTGGGAGGAGGTATCATACCCTGCAAAGGAGAAAAATGAGCAGGAAATGGTAAATGAGATGACATGCAAATGCTATGGCAAAGTAAAGTACAAGTACTGTGCAATGTCCCATTAGCATCTGAGGACTTCTATGCCGTCTGCCTGTGGCACTGCCTCTGTTAGCAACTGTCTCATTCCCAGGAGGTCATGCCTACAGTGGCAAGTCCTCTGTCAATAAATGGAGACCTCCCTCCCTGTCTGGGTAGCATGTTATCCCACACAATAGGCATCCTGATGTTCCACAAGTGGTCAGCCACTTTCCTCACTAAGGGTCCCTGGCTATGTGTCAGGTGTGCTCTAAGAGATTAAATACAACATAGGAGGCTCATACCAACTGCCTCCCCCCTGTACATCAACTAATGGGAGCTATGGGCTCTAAGGGTCAAATACCTTAGGGTATTTGGGATGGACAAGTGTAACCCACGAGTCTCCCATTCATGGGAGTCCTTGCAGTTATGCAGGGTTTGCAGGGTTTGCAGGGTTTGCAGAGTAGCCTGATAGGCATGAAAATTACACCGGATGCTTCAAGATGGAACTTCAAGACATGGCCAAGGGTTCTACATCAGTGAGGTGTGAAGTCAACATGGAAGACAGAGTATAGACTGGTTCAGGGAGATCTGGGTAAGATCATGTGCTGAAAGCTGGTCATGATGGCAGCTACCCTGGCAGCCATGCAGTGTCATGGCATGTGGCTAGGGCAGAGATCTCACAAGAAAGACTGCCACTGCACACAAAAACAATTCCATTATCCCAAGTGGAGGCCTGGCAGAAACCATGCCACATGCATTTTAAAGGCTCCATGGCCATTGCAGGGGCCTCAGGCAAGGAGACCCAACAGGGCTTTGAGGCCAAAGGTGTTTGTGACCCAGGGATACGAGGCTAAGACAAAGGTGTAGACCCATGCTATCTTTATGTTGCAAACTCCATCCTCACGCCTGCCTCCATCCATCCACATGTGCCCTTAGGATTTCCCACCACATCACACCTTTCACCAGAGGGCCAAGGATGTTATGGTGAATGCAGGAACTCCAGAAGGGCTGCAGCAAGATTCCCAGTGGGACACTCACCCTCAATGGCCTCTATCCAGTGGATGGACTGCTGGGCTAAGGGCTGCTGGACCCTGGCCCAGGCCTGGAACAGTATTTCCAGCTTGTCCCCCCAGGAGGCATGCCACATGTAAGGTGCATCTGTAAGGTGTGTGCATGCCATGATGCGATGCCCTTCAGCTAGAGATCGGTTTTCACACAATCTGAAATGCAAATGTAGAGGGGAGATGGAAAGGATGAGGGCTTAACACACAGGCATTCCTGTCCACCCCAGTCCCACCTGGCTTTCCTAGCAGGAAGAAAGGGTCTGTCACTCATTGAAAACATGCCATCATCTAAGAGCCATTGGACTGTGAACTTCCCATTCTGAGACAAAGTGAGCCTTCACGGGAATGGACAGACCCAACTAGGATGCAGATTCAATGCAGGACTCCTGGCCCCATTTCCTTCAGCACTGGGGCATGACCCAAGACATTGGCCACTTCTGTCCTTATCAAAGTCCCATGGGGACACTGAGGAAGGAGAAGCAGAGAGGCCTAGGGAAGGGCACCCCAATTTTTATGGAGGCCACACAAGCTGTGAAAGCAGCAATGGCCTGGAAACATGACTGGATCCCAGGCCACCACATGCAGATGTCCAATGGAGGTGGGAGGTGGGGATCCACCTCAGCACATGGAGAAAAGTGGTGCTACCAGAGTCCTCAGAATGAGCTCTGAGGGGTAATTACTCCGTGGGGCCCATTCTCTCCTCCCCATGCCTTCTACCTCCAAATGTCCATACCAAAGAACCCTCCATCCATCTGTAGACTTACGCAGGTTTGGCTTCATGTGGCACTCTGTCCTCAAGGGAATTCCCATAGACTACAATAAAATTTAGATAGGGAAGTTGCTGTGAGACAAAGAGCCCAATTATAGGTCAGAACAGCCCCAGAGGCCCAGGGAGATGCCTGCTGACAGCTGTCTTGGTGGCCTTTGCCCATTAACAGGGGACCACTTCTCTCTTCCAGTCTGCCTGCCTCCTGCATATCAGGCATCCCCAAACTCCAAAAGGGATCAGCTGCTGTTTGGCCCTGTGGGGATCACTGCAAATGGCCCAGCTGGTTTCTTCCTCAACAGCTGCCCTAAAGAGCCTCCCCACAACTAACAGCCAGGCCTTTGTGATTCTCATGTTGCAGTGTGCCATAGGTTGGATGCGGAAAGCCCTGGAACCTATTCCCATAGGGGTTTTAGGGTCATGAACACACCCCAAATGTTAGGGACCTGTGAGAGTCATAATGATCGGACTGGTTCCTCCACATGGCAATCAGTGGTACGGCCAAGGGCTCTAGATAAGGAAAGAGTGACATCAACTCAATGTGGGAGAGTGACATGCTGTGTCTCAGTTTAGAGGTTTTGGGTCTTTCGTGAGATCACAAGTGGAGAGGGTAGCTTTGATGATAGTGGCCCCTACAGGCAGTGTGTCATAGCATGTGACTGGGACAGGGATCTCACAAGGAAGACTGCCACTGGCCACTTGATCCACTAGTACAAGTGTAGGCTTGGAACACACCATGCCATGTGCACAGGGCTGGTGCACACCACACTGGGATCCACAGACTGCTGCCATGTTGTCACCCCTGCTAGAGGAGCTGCAGCACAGCAGTGTGCTGAGGAAAACCACCCTTTGGGGAAGCAGAGCTACTGGGTGAACACACAGGTGTAGACCCACATGACATCTTTGCTTCAAACTCCCTCTGGGGGTTCTTAGGCTTTCCTTTCTAGTCCAACTAGAGCAGCCCATCCATTGCCCAACCACTGCCAGGGTCTTTGTGAGAGCAGGGCAAGTATGCTGGGGTTTACTCCTTACCCTAAGTGGCACTGGAAGCACCCCCCCAGTTGGTGTACTCACCTCCAAACCTTGTGCACCACGAGTACTCTTCCAGCACTATCGTCCAGCCACCACCAGGATAACGCTGCTGCATAACCAGCGTGGCTTTCATGATGATGCACCAACAATATTCACCCATGATCAGCCCTGGTACCAACTCAGGCTCTACTTGAGGTGGAAAGCACCCACTGATCCTGCTGGATTAGGAAGGGTGGAGAAGTTATCATGGTAGTTAAGGTACTAGAGGGCCCTATCAGGCCTGCATCACAGGCAGGTTGATTCTGCCACCAATGAAAATGGGCCTTTCAGCTAACAGCTGTCTGAGCAGGATCCTCCCCTTGCTGAGCAAAGTGAGGAACTGCAGGACGTGGAGGCACAGCATGAGCTACAGGTGGAGGCACCAGAAAAAGGATGGAGAGATGGTGTTGGAAGATGGCCAGGATTCCGGCTGAAGAACAAAGAGCTGTGATGCTCAGTAATGGAATCCTCATGACACCCAGATACAAGCAGAACAAATAGTGTTTGTCACATTCGACAAAATCAGTTGAATATTACTAATCTCAGGTGTGGTAATGTACCTGCTACAGCACAGTGGGCTTCTAGTTCTGTGGCCACCCTGCTGGCTTTCTCAACATTTTGGTATGGTATTTTCCCCTGTACTTCTTTCTATCAGCCATCTCCATAAACACAGAGATGAGAAAAAAAAAGAAGATAAGGAACCCTGTCTTTTAATCTATGCACAACAGAAGTAATAACTGCAGGAGACCCCTGTAAAGTCCAGTTGATCTGAAGCAACTAATGGAGACCACATGGGTGTTTGAGGAAGAAATGGCAATCTCTATGGGTGCCAAAAATGATTACAATAATACTCTTCATAGAGAAACAGTGTGATCACCTAGGGTGTGTGAAATCCTTCCATTCAGCATATTCAGTTTCTCCCTAAAATATGAGTCCCCAGATGTCAATATCAATGAAATATCCATGATTCCTTAGTCTTACCTGGGGCAGATTAAGTCCCAGCAACCACCCTTCATTTGCGTCATTTCTTTTGCTGCAAATAAATTCCAACAGGGACTGGTCAAATTAGGGAGGTCCTAGTACATGTGCAATCCAGTTCCCAACAATGACACAGTAATACCCATAAACTCTATTTGACAATGGCATACTGTGAGAGAAATATTTCATGTGCTGACCCTTTGAGCAAAACCTTCTTGGCATGAAAATCAATATCCAGACCTCTTTGTCTTGAAAACAATGAACCTCATCTTTTCCCCGCTAATTCTGGGAAACTACCCTATCTGCATTCTAAAAGAATTAAAAGTTATTCACTTTTCTCCTGTTAGAATGCCAGGATGTAGATGACTTAGAGGAATCTATACACTGAGGTGAGACTGAGGATGAGATATATTCAATTTCTTCTCAAGATTAGTCTTCGATGCTTCACAGAAACAGTTTGTCATTCATGACCACTACAAGCTACAGTGGTCATTGTTGCCTCTGGAAATCTTGGAAGTATGGGAGTGGCTTCAATTTTATGTCCTAGGTTTAGATGGATAATGAGCTGGAAGAAGAGAACTTAAAAGATACAGAGGATGGGCTATGTTTGGAGAAATGTGGGTTATGTCTGCAACAGAGATGTAGACAAGATGCCTCTGGCAGTGTGCAAGCATAGATCATCAAGAGACAGGTTCTACTGCCTCAAGTATATGTAACGATGCCACATGGCAAAGGCTGTGTCTTATTTAAAATACATGTGTAATTGTTCCTAATGGCAATGCCACAACTGCCAGGCAAACGTTTCATGGGCCCACTCCATAGAAGAGGAAACAGAAATACAGAAATCAATGATCTTTCTACAATCAGTGAAAACAGTGCTGAGGACACAGGTGGGCCCTTTCACTCTCAGCACAGGGCTCAATCTCCCTCTTACAAGCCAGCCACCTGCCCCAACCCTCCTTCCTGTCCTTTCAAACTGGATGGATACTGCATCTTGATCAAAGGCCACCTGCACTGGGGAAAATGGAGACTTCTGAAATGCTAGGAACTTCAAGCCTGTGCGATTTCTCACTCTAGTTCTCATCCAGAATTCCTGATCATGTCATGGCCACAGATATTTCAATGAAAACAAGGTAGCAGGAAAATGTCTCCTGCAGGGAAGTGGAGTCTCCTGTAAATGTGAGACTTTCTGAAATCAGAGCCTGAGGTCCCCTTACCCAGGCTACATTTGTAGACAAGATGCTTTTCCAGCCTGACGTGAACAACCAGTGGCTCCAGCAAGCCCCTGTGTGGTGGCTGTCAGGGTCATGCTGGGTGAGGAGGGCTCTGGGATGTAGGCTGAGATGACAAATCTGTGTCTGTTTTCTTGACTTCTTACGTAGCCAGCGCCGCTTGCGGGTGCAGTGCCTTATTTACATGGCATTTCCTAAGGTAGGACAGGAGAGAAAATGTAAGAATAGAAATATGTGCATGATACCATCTCTGTATTTCAACAGATTTCATGGAGAATTCTCTCACAGAGCCCTGCAAACAGCAGCACTGACAGGTTTCGGGTAAATGCTTGTGGTGAAGAAGACAAAACGAGAGCTTCCCCTGTGTTAGAGGGTGACCCTGTGTTCAGTCCACATTGCCAGGACTCTTCCTTCATCCCCACACACACAGCTCCTTTAGCTGCTAACTTCAACCACAGGCATTTCCAAGTAAAACACATAGCCCACTGCAGTGACTGAACACCAAGGTGCACTCAGATGCATGTCCCTTGTTACTGGTGTTCTTCAGAAAGAAATGAAAGTCTGGCAGGGTCAATCTTAGACAATATCCTCAATCAGGAGGTGATGGTGATCTAGAGAGAATGACATGGTGATGACAACACATCATGTGCATACCATGCCATGCGTTGCTCACTATCCTCTGGTTAGTTATGAGAATTTGAACTCAAGAAATTCCTTGTTTTTTGAAAGAGGAAAGGAGGCTTTGATAAACACCACAGCCCATCAAGCAGTATTTTCATTGTTGTGCACATGTTTTATAAATATTTATGAGATAGGTCCCCAACATGTAAATTCCTGCCCTTCTCCTGATCCAGGTCTGTTTCCCCAGCTGAGCTGGCCCACTTCACTGATACCACATATATCTTCCTCCTGCTTGTAATGCCCGAAGCCCCACTTACTTGAACTCGGCAGGTGCCAGCTTCTCAAGCTGTGGAGTTCCAAGTGCTGGCTTCTCCCTTAGCCTGGATTGAATCACCTCTTGGCCCTCACCATAATCTGAAACAGACATACTTGCCTCAGTGGACAGCTGGACATGCAGCTGAGGTCACTGTCTCTAGGGAGGAGCCATTCTAGTACCACGCTCCAGGTAAGCATTTCTTCATCTTTGTCTCTCCACCTCCCGACAACAGGATATCTGATAATCCCCCATTTAGAGTGAACAGTGTTCCAAGGTGAATGGTGACCTGACAAGGCAGTTCAACTGCTATTTGACAGAATCAGAATTCCCTTCCACTAAGCTGTGACTGAATCATGGCAGTGTAGTTAGCACACCTTGCAGGTTTTTAAGTCAAGCACTAACTTGTAGCATGAAGCAGTGAGCTCCAGTATGGTTGGTAAAGTACACTAGCACTGGGGATAGTGGTTCTTCTATGCTGAGAAGTTCAACTTTCATGTTTGGGGAGTTTCCAAAGACAAAATCACAGCTAAGTAGAATTGTGTAAAAAACAGTGCTAAACACCCACAGGCCCTGAAAGAAATATACACACCTACTAATACAGCTCCTGTTAAATTAGAAAAAAAAATGGAATGAATAAATCTACTCCAGGCCAGGAATTGCCTTACATATTGTACAAAAAATATATCCCATATTTCATGGCAACAATTTACAGAGGTAGGAATTATGACAGCACTTGTGGGAACCGAGGAGGGGTCTAAGGCATGCAGAGATTGGCAAGTTGGAGAAAAGCCCAGGGAGGGTCTCAGAGTCCCTGCTCTACATTCTGCTCTGTGCTACCACAAAGACTCAGGAACCTTCTTCCTCTTCGAGAAGAGCTTTTGTTCCATGAGTGGGTTTCCCCCTGACCAGGGCAGTCCCTGGTCTAGACAATGTCATTTACAAGTACCACAATGTCTGCACAGACTCCATTAGCACCTATAACAGAGATCTTATGGACTCTTCACATTTCTCTGTGTGACCAGCACAAGGATTTGCCAACTGGAACTCAAAAGAAGCTTGAATTGAGTAGAAGTTCATTAGTCCCACACATGAAACCCACACCAGCTGGTACAGGACAAAGAGGTTGCCAGTTAACTGACATCTCACCCCACACTTAAAGGAAACATGGAAAAGTTGTTGAACTAGTGCCTTGGTTATTCCAAATTGACATGAAAATAGCTTATACAGTTCTCAGAGTATTGTAACAATGGATTTTCTTAGGATAAAGGGAAGAACCAAACCTAGAAAGCCTTTATTTTCTCAGAGGGACAAAATCATCATTTACCACTTTAGTGAGAGGACCTATGGAACTCACTGTTTTCCTCTTGGTGGAGGATGAAGCTGAAATGATGAACTATCTCTTTCAGATCTTGTATTTCCCACTGGTTCTCTGCTAGTCGGCAATGCAATGCCTGGTTACACGCAATCATATTATTTTTATTGGCTGGATCGGATGAAGGGCTCAGTGGTACTGCCATTCTGATGGTTCTGGCAGACCAGGGGGCTCCAGAGACTAGGTGGAAGATACCCAAGAACAGAATGAGTTACAACAAATGACATTCAATAGCTCTAATGAGGGCTGGGGGATGACAACAGCCATATTTCTGAACTTACTGTTGGGAAACACCCCACAGAACTTCAAAGTCTTCAATCAAAATCCTGTCACTATTAAGTGATCAACACTCAGCTTTTAAGCGACTTCTTATTACTCAGTCACTGTCACAAGTGAAGAGAACGAACTCCCTGCTTGCCAGCTTGCCAAGTAACTGTTGGAAGTAGCAATAGCAGAATGAGAAGATGGCCGGTACTGGAATGTTAGGAGTTGTTGACTTCCTGTTGCCAAGGATACCTGGTCCCTTCTTAAAGGCCACCAACTCATTCCTCATTCTCAGGAGCAGCGCGCCCAGTGCTGATTTTAAACACCTGCATTTTCACTAGGAAAATCTAAGCACATTTCCCACTCTCCCTCCCTCCCTTGGTGGAAAACACTAAGGAAGATTCATTTCCAAACAAGTGTTATTTTCTCAAAGCGTCTCAGGAAGTCACTCACCCTGCCTTTCTGTTAAAATGGGTCTCCAGGCTTTTCCTCCAGGGATACATGTCACATGATAAACTACCAAGATGTTCTTCTCTGGGTTTCTGCAAGCCTTTCTATAGCCATTAAATAGTGTAGGGTCAGAAAGCAGAGTAAAGCATGTACAGAATGAAAAAATAATATTGTGTCCCGTCCTGTCTCAAAATATTTTTGGCTCTACTCAATGTTGTAATGGCTTCTCTTCCCTCACACAGGCAGCATGTTGCCATTTACACTACTAAAATCAGTTAGACCTCCCGACATCCTAAGTCCTTCCTCAGACTTGGGGGCATTGTTTTGTTTTCAGTGTCATTAAATACAGCATTTCCTACTTGTCACTTGCATGTTTTGTTCTAAACCCAAAGAGATCATTTTAAAGATACCAAGGCACTCCAATAGTTATCTATATTCTCCTGCATACACATAGTCACCATCTATGTCTAGAATAGATATGAGCTGATGCTACTTTTCAGATGTTTTCCTTTGGTTCCAACACATATAGAGTTGAACAGGGCCAGTGGTAGTTCTTATGCAATGTTAACTGATAGATTTTTTTCTTATATGGTTGCATCCCTATTGAATGATGGGCTGAATTCCACTAAAAATCACTGTTAACCTGAGCATGCTTTTGTGGTGCTGGTGATCCACCGTGTGCATGTGCAGTACAAGCTGCTACTGTGGTGGGAGCACCCACCTTCTCACTTTCTTGGCTTCCATTCCCAACCAGCTTTCATGAACCTCAGACTTAGGGGACTCTCCTGGAGTTCCAGGTTTCTTCCGTTCAGCTGCTGGACTTATCTAACTTGGGGTGGCAAGGGGACTGACATTGGGATGCTGAATATTCCTCTCCAAGTAAGGAAGAAGTGGAATGGATCAATACCTTCTAAAGCCTCTCTACCCACCCTACACTGTCTCCCAAAGACACTGTATAATGGTATCATTTGTGAGATGAATGAAAGGTTTCTTTTAAAATTTATTTTCTTGTGTCAGTGGACTTGACATTCAGTGGCAGAAAGTAATATATATCAAAACCTTCCTTGTCAAAATGACAATCATGGGGAGCACAAAGTCACATATCTCAATCTCACACAAGGATGAGCTTGGGCAGTGCTAGTAAAAGATCATTATAACAGTAACAACTACTTGAGTAGCATATGCCAGGCCTCTGGCTAAGTACTCTACACGTGATGGCATTTCATTCCACTACAATCCTTGAGACAGCATGTAAGCAGAAGCAAACACACCTACAGGAGAGGGACAGGCAGTACCTTTTTAGTGAGGTTTAAATGTTTGTGTTTCACTGGTTCATGCAGAGCGATCAGTGAACCAGAGAAGTATTCATTGCAGCATCATTTGCCTGTACAGAGGACTGCACTCCTGGATCATCAGGAGCGAAGTGCACGGGCATGTGCAGCATTCTTCCGTATGACGTGAAACTACTCTGGCGACATAGACTATCCTTTAGGATATCAAGAGAAGTACAAGACTTGAGTCTTCATTTGAATGGCTTTCCTGGAATCCACTCTTTAATACTTAGCATTCCCTCTGAAGACGTTTGGCTTTTAGACCCACAATATATGCAGATAGAGAATATTTTACTCTTAGAAAGATGGAATCAGTTAGGCTTAGGCTTTCTTCCCTGAACCAGAATTGTTCTGATTTCTATAGAGACTAAATAAGTATACAAGTAATACTTCCTCATACTTATTAGAGCAAAGTTATCAGGTTGGAACCCTCTGATGTCACTGAATTCACACGTGGTGGGATGATTATTATTTCAAATGCATTCAACTTGTGAGGAAAGCGTTGCATTTCCACTTGCTGCTGATGTACAAAACAGGTGGAGTGAGTATTGCCCAGGTCCCCCTGATGTGAGAACTGGAGCCAGATCTCAGGTACAGATCCCTCTACCTGCAAATCCCTTAAAACATTTCCAATTAAGTTGACAGAAGTCTTTCCACATGGGAACATCACTTACCTCTGCCTCATTTCTGCTAAAAGCCATTCACACAAATTCAAAATTTTCTTCTGAGGTTTTGTCACAATGGATCGTCAGCTCCACATTCTGGCCACTATTAATTGGAGATGCACTGTTGGATAAAGATGCAGGGAACAAGAGCAGAGTGAGGGTATATTTGGCACTAGGATTAAGATACTGCTTGTAAAGACATACTCTATATCACTGGCTGGCAACATCGCAGTTCAGTTTCCTCTTTCCAATTCCTGGGAGGAAGATTGGAAAATCTGCCATCAATGTGGGGGTCCTGAATTAAGGTCTATTCTTTGTTCTTAAGGCTGGCCCAGGCCAAGCTGTTGCAGGCATTAGTATAGTAACACAGAGGATGGGAAATCTCCCTCTCACTGATTCCCCCTCTTCCTTTCTCTGCCTTTAAAATCAGTAGAAATATGTTGCTATTATAGAAATAAAAATGAGGCATGATAATGTGAAAAAACACATTATTGCTATTATTACTGAAGTAAAATTCAGCTACCATAAAATCTACCACTGTTAGGCATACATTTGTTATATTGCAGAATTTTCAATCACCCCCAATTCTAGAATATTTTGATAAACTCTCCATTTCTATCTTTTTTTTTTTTGACAGGCAGAGTGGACAGTGAGAGAGAGAGACAGAGAAAAAGGTCTTCCTTTGCCATTGGTTCACCCTCCAATGGCTGCCGCGGCCGGCGTGCTGCGGCCAGTGCACCATGCCAATCTGATGGCAGGAGCTGGGTGCTTATCCTGGTCTCCCATGTGGGTGCAGGGCCCAAGCACTTGGGCCATCCTCCACTGCACTCCTGGCCACAGCAGAGAGCTGGCCTGGAAGAGGGCAACCAGGACAGATCCGGTGCCCCCGACCGGACTAGAACCTGGTGCCAGCGCTGCAAAGTGGAGGATTAGC